CTTAACAATTTTTAATTAGCTATTTTTTAGAAGGGAATGGATGTGTATCTATGAGTGCACATACTTGTAGATTTATTTTTTTTTTCCCTAATTGCTGGTCCGAAGGCTAGTGACAGGCAAAATGAACAAAATGTTCCATTCTGAATGTTTTTAAACTGCACAATGATTTGGGGAAAGAATACTTAATTTTTAGCTTGATTTTTAGAGCAGGTAGTGACTCTACTTTCATACATGTAGCTTCAGTGCACCTACGTTTTTCATGCTGAACCTGCTAATGAAAAAATAATGCTGACTTTTTTATTGCCAGGATTTTACCAATACATAGGACTCTGTTGTAATTACATAGCTTCTGATGGTATAGTGCTTTTAAAAGTAGTTGAACTAAAACCTGATCCACCAGGATTTGAGTTGTGAAATATGCTCAAGCAATTCCTGTATAGGGAGAGTGTCATTAGTTCTAGTGTTTCTACCTGAACATTTCTGTTTTGGAGAGACATAAGAGTGTTAATCTAAGTGTGTTCTGCAGGTGAACAAAATCATAGGTTTCATGATCAAAAAGAATAATTTGGTACTTCTCCCTGCAAAACACAGATCATGCACTTTTCTTAGTGATGCCTAGTGCCACCTTAGCGACTTGTTGCAGTCTAGTTTGAAGAATTGCCTTTCTTACCTAAAAAGCCCTGTCTGTTTTCCAGTGATTTCAGTGTTGCTCTTTGCCCTGGAGCTGGTTAGAGCTTCTCGTTGGTGGTAAACAGCTGCTTTCCACCAGGAGGCTAAATGTGTTTCAGTGGTGGATGAAGCGCTCCTTTGTAAACAGTTTGTCAGTGCTCTTGGAAATCCATGAACAGAAAAGTTACTTGCGGTGTGATTGTGATGTTTTAAGTTTGAGGCCAAAAGTATGATGCGTTCTAGCTTGAACATTTTGTTTTAAAATGGACGCCTTTGTCTCTGCACTTGGTAAAAATCTCTCCCTCTGCACAAACCACCTCTCCATGTACCAGAGAAATGCTTGAATTGCTCGAGTAAGCACTTTGCAAAGCTCTGCATACTCACAGGGTCCAGCTGGCACATGTGAGTGGTGCTGGGGAGCTGCGGTGGTCCCAGCTACGCGAGAGGCTTCTGCATGCCCTTCTGTGCCCGGTAGCATGAAGGGAAAGAATCTGCGTGTGTGGTGTTTCTTGCCTGTGGGAAGACAAGTGGCACAACACATTTAAGTGTGTTTATGTAGATATACCAACTCTGAATTGGTGAAATAGGAGCTAAAACCCCTGTAATTACTTTTCAGACGAAGAGGACAATTGAGGAGGATATGGTGTAAGTTCAGTTACAGGACTGGCTGTACCCACTGCCAGTGGAGTCCCTCCAAAGTTTTGGGGAGCTGATATTAATATGACTTAGTTGGTAATAAAGTGTAAATCTACAAAGTAGGCAGGCAAATAGTAAGAAGGTTCCAGTTTTAGTGTCACCACTTTGTTTCATACCTACTTCATAGGGAAGTAGGCAAGTTTCACGTTTGAGTTGAGGTGTTTGATGAATTTGAGTGACTTTTTAGCAGGCTCGCCACATAAAGGCAGCCACTCCCCAGTACCATTCACCTGAGCTGCCACACGGAGACCAAGGCCAGGCAGGTAGCTCAACTTTTCCAGCCACCCTGTTACAGATTGTGCATGCCTTCTAAGCCTTGGTCTCGTCATCTCTCTCTCTGCGCATGCATGTATGCAACGCAGTACCTCTGTATCACACTGTGATTTGTCACATGCACATAGGTAGTGCCCTGGGCCTCCAAATCTTCAGATAAAGTTGATAAAGTGAACTAAAAAGTAATTTAGAGTTAGAGTGTAACATAACAGCATGCCCTTTAGTTAGGAAGGCTATGGAAGGTCAGAAACAGGAATGGTGGAAGGATAAATCCTGGTTCAGGTTTTCGATTCTTGCTTTGCTCTGCTTCATTCAGGAGAAGACAGTCACTTCATCCTGTTGCCTGCAGAAGCTTCATCTTCCCTGTGTCTCATGTAGCTAGGGACATGGGGTGAAGTTATGTTCGTTTTGTGCAGGGTGTGATTGTGGGTCTGAAACCTTGTCCTTATCTCTGAAAAACAATTGAAAAGAGGATTTAAGGATTCCTTACCTGCTTTGAGTTACACAAGGCTGAGACAACCTAACGCTTTAAATTCAGGTATGATAATTAGTAGGGAATGCTTCCTTACCAAGGGACGACTCTAGTGTCTTTCTTGATAATCAAACCTAGAACCTGTGCCTGCTAAAGTCAGTAGCAGGTTTTTCTTGTCCTCAGGAAGTCTGTTTGGGCTTTTTCTGCTTTGATGTGTTTTGATTAAGGCACAGCAGAGCTTATTTCCAGTGTTTTTCTCTGTGCCAGTCCCAGATGAGAAGGCATTTCTACAGTGTCTAGATTACATGTAATTTTAAAACAATGCCTACTGGGAAAACATGGTTTCAAAACAACATGATATAAGGCCATATTAATTGTTTTAAGATGACTGCTATGTTGCTGTTAGCAAGAGGAGCAATGAAGAATGACCTCTAAGTATTCCAAATTAATAATAAAAGATAAATTAATTTTTTAATATCTCCATATTTTTAGTTAGTTTGGGTTTTTTTTTTAAAGGAACTCCACTGTTCTTGAGATGATGTAACATTACAATGTGAATTACCTCATTAAAAGTCTGAAATAAGCTGCTTGTGTGTCCTAAATCCAGGAACATTTTTCGTCAAAGACTAAAAAGTGCTAAAAGGTGATAGAATCAGTCACCTCAAACACTTGGATCTTGCCCTGGAAGTATTTTATGCCTACTTCTGTCTTATTTGTTGTCTTGAAACAATGCTCTAAGGAGAAGACAACATATAATTGCTCTGTAATTTCGGCACTAAAATGTTTTCTTTTGAAGTAGCTCCGCTTAGCTTGTAAAAATACTTCTGGGTCTTAGTCAAGCATTTAGTACAATTTAAAACTGCAATGCTAAATTTCATTGGTTGGACTTTTTATTAGATAAGGTAGAAATGAAAGCAGCAGGCAATTTAATTAGCAGTAATTTTTCTGGGCAAGTCATTACTTTGATGAACTTCAGAGCAATGTTTATGGCTCCTAATTAACCATGTTAGTCATTTGATTGAATAATCACTTTGGAAATGTTTCTACAATTTGATTAGAGTCTGACCCACTCTGATAGTCATAAATTAACTGATAGCACTTTAGGATAACAAGACTCTAGTTACTTTACGAGAAATAAACTCTTCCTTGCTGTATTTTTCGGTCCTCTGTGGACTGTTTAAGCACAAGCTAACCAGAAGATTAAGTAATGTTGGTACAAACAATGCTTGCCTTAAAAAGACTCCAGATGTTAATTATAATTGACTTAGGAGCATGGGAGATGAAACCCCAAATTGGCTAAGAACACAACTTCTTGAATGCATGTGTAATTCTTTATTCCGTATACTCTGCTGTATCACTTTGCAGGACTGGAGTTCATGGGTCAAAAAGGGTTTTGCTGCCAATACTAGTGAATTTTTACCTAAAATAGAAAATACCATCTGTTTCAGTTCTACAACTTCCTCTTTTTTTACGTAGATTTTTCCATTCTCCTTAAAATTCAATCAACTTGGTAACATGAGTGATTCCTTGCAGGTGAACCACTACTTGTAGCCTTGACTTCTAGTCTACAGAGCTGTACTTGAGTCGGGTGATCACTGAATCACTGATTCCTGTGGTTGCTCAGAAAAGCTGCCTGAGACGTTAGAGATTCTTGAGGCCTGAGCAGGCAGGCACTGAATGTTTCATCGAGAGAGGAGGTAATGAAGAGTTTGGCACAGATGTGCAAGAGAGACTGTGGACTGTTAGAGGAAACTTATTACTGCCCTGTGTTTCACTTGTTTTGTGAAGTCAGTGTAAAACCTCATTTTCTTATCCTGCCAGATCTTTGATACTCTTCGCTAGTCAGTGAACAGTGAAATTTAAAATCACAGTCTGAAAGAGGCTGTAGGCAGTGTTGGAAAAATAACGTCTGCTCTTTCGACCTCTGTTTGCATCTCTTAGACTTACAAGTTACTGGTAACAGATTGCATAGCTTAGGGTAGGAGTTTATCACAAGATCAAATAGACTTTGTTAAGCAAGACTTTTGATATTCAAGACGTGGGTTAAACATGGTCTAGAAGGGCAAACATTTATGGTGTATTTCTGTTTGCAAGTCCCTGTGCACAGGATGTGGCTACTTGGGGACAGTGCAAGACACATAGAAAGACATTTAAAGAACACCATTTTCATTAGTTCTGTTTGGTTTTTCTCATTCTTGCAGATTTGAGTGGAGGTGGGGAATGGCAAACAAATGTCTGTATTACTTAGAATGTGTGCAGTAATGGGGGGGAGGCATTTGTCTTTTTTTGTTTAAGCACATACAGGTGGAGGGTAAAATTGATGCATCTGAATTCCTAGATTAAATACTTAGCAATCACAGAAAATTTCATTAACCCTTCAAATCCTGAACTGGAGTCTGAAAAGCAATATCCTACTCTAAATATCCTACACTATGACATTCCTTTTATTAATGTAGAGTTTATAAGTCTTCAGTGTGATTAACAGGCTTTCTGTGTAATTGATTGAAAATGTTAGGTCGACTTAGTTACAAAGATAGATAAACAAGCGGAGTTTAAAATATTCACGCTGTCTTGTGTGGATTTTTTGGTCTGTGAATGGTCTAAAGTGTAATTGTCATGAGAGTCACCTTTTAGCAAAGTTGATTACTGTAAGGGTTTGAGTTCAAGTGCCTATGTTAGATAGGATCTATGATCCTCACATTATGATTTTCTCCTCCACCATGCCTTGTGCGTGCTGCTCTGAAATTCTGACTGTGTGTTGGCAGGTTCTCCCTCACTGTAACTTGCATCCTTTTTGTTGCTCTTCTGCCTGCAGCCTGTCTCATTGATAACCTGCACACTTTTAATTCCGGATAGTCTTTTGACTAGCATTGTCGTCTTCTCCTTTCAGAAGTGCCTAGCTGCCATTCCATTTACATGAGGCAAGAAGGCTTCCTGGCTCACCCAAACAGAACAGAAGTTAAGTTTTCTATTATGTATTGCTTTTGTATGAGAGAAATGTAAAAAATTAAAAAGCCTGGAGGGATTTGGGATTCACTGGTTTAATTCTGCTGCTGGGAAGACTCCCAACATCTTTCTTTCCCTTCCCAGTGTTGAGTTTCTGATGCACTGATTTTTTATAGCTTCTTTTAGTGCCACAGGTTGATCAGGATAGAAGCAATTTTTTAATGAATTTACTCATTGTGCTTTTCAAAGCCTCTAGCAGTTGAAAGGAAGAGCGGCTAAAAAATTTCACCCATTCTGCTTAAGTGATATTTTCCAGGCTATTGGTGTGACAGGCTCAGTTAACTGTCAGGTAGTCCATTTTGTACTTTAAATTCAGTGGAAGTTTTTGGCTTTTCCTTTTGTTGCAATTTTTGCAATGTTTTGGTGCTGCTTAGGTGCAATTGTACAGCTATGTGATACATAGCAAAACTTCCAGTGACTTCAGTAGGGCAGAGCTTAGATCATTGTCAAAATTAATAATTCTGAGTAAAAGCACTTCATATGTATTAAAAGTAAGAAGGCCAACAGAACTAAGAAAAAATGACCACTGAAAGAGAGGTTGTACCCTCCACTCTCCTGCTTTGCTGTGTCTGTCTTGTCAAGATATGATTATTTTTTTTTTTAAGGGTTTATTTGTTTGTCTTCCACAGGGCAAATTTCACAAACATGAGGGAAATTGGTTTTGAGATTGATGAGAATTCAGACAAATGTATGAAAAAGTCCTCTAGTAAGACTTCATTGACCAGTGAAAAGTGACAACTGGAAAGACAACAAATCTGGCTTTTAGCCCACCTGCTTTGGGGTGGAATAAAGGCAGAAAATAGAAAGAAAAGGTAGTGTTTAACAAGGAGGGTGAAACAGGAGATGAAAATTTATAACACTCTTAGTGTATGAAATTATGTGAAGTATAGCATCTTGGTAAGGGAGGTGAAGGACATCAGGGAAGAATCCACGGACTGCAGGACTAAGGTCAACAGATCTGAGTTTTAATCACAGCACAGATAGGGGAAAAACAATCTTAGCCGTGTCATGTACGCATAAGTACTTGGAGGTGGTAAAATTGTTAGGAATGACGTAGAAAAGGCAGTGATGTTCGATAGATATTTGTTTTCTGTATTTGGAAATCAGTCAACATGAGTTTATGGAATAAAGGTCATGTCAAATCTGATTCTATTCTTTGCTGAAATTAAGAGTTTGATTGGTAAAGATACTTGTGTTGCATAGTTAGACTTTTTATGGCATTCAGTTTGCCACTGCATTACATTCTGATTAAGAAGTTAGCACAAAGCAATATCAATAAAGTACATATTAAATACATTAAGACCTGGCCAACTGACAGATCTAAAAGTGGCTGTCACTGGGCAATCATCTCTGAATGGGTTGTTTCTATTATAGTTCTGTAGGAATTGATATCAGGAGTGTTGCTATTCAACAGTTTCAGTAAAGATATGGAACAAAGTTAATAGATAACTTTATGGCACAAAGATAGGCAGAGTGGTAAATAATGGGCAGGACAGGGCAGTCACAGAAAACAATTTGAATTGTTTGGTGATCTGGGCACATTAAACAGAATGGTTTTTTAATATGGTGAATGTAGATCAGGTGTATGGAACTGGGAAACAGTATATTGGAAAAAAATATTTTGCGATGGGCCTCCTCCTCCTGGGCTTCACAGTGGGAAACTAGCCCAACCAAACATGGCAACCGTATGGCAAAAAGGCCTTCTGTAATATTTGCACAGTCAAAAGGAGGGTCATAGGGAGGCAGGAGAGGAGGAGATGTTTTGTCTCGCTAAGTATATATCAGCTAGGCTGATACTAGCATGTAATACAGTTCTGGTTAAGCAAAACATTAAAATAATAGTGAAAAGTAGGAGTGTGTACAGAAGAGAGTGCTAGAAAGAATGCAGGGTTGCAGAGAGTGTCTTTTAACGACAAAAATGAAATTTTACAGAATGATCTTAATTGGAAGAAACATCAAGAGGGGTGACTTCTGTGAGTGTGAGGAGGAAATACTGAGTAGGACTTTTTTAGTCTCGCAGGGAGAAGACCCGGAGGAACTAATGGTTAAAAGTCAAAGCCATGCTGGTTCAAACAGGAAATGAGACAAACATTTTTGAATAAATCATAGAGAAAAATGGGTGCTTTTTCATTTTTGCAGGTGGAGATTAACAGTCTTTTGGGAATGCACACATTAATTAAACACCCCTGTACTGAGGCCAAAATGTTGCGATTGGGCGGTGTGTAAAGGATGTGGGATATTAATCTGATTACTCTATGACTTAGTGTTCCCTCTGGCATTAAGCCTATGATCTCGTCTTTCTCCATGCATCTTTTATATAAACACCTCTCTCTTTTTAACTTACAGGCTGTATGTATGAAAAGGGACCTAGACAGTTTTATGATGACACTTGCGTTGTTCCAGAGAAGTTTGACGGTATGTATGACACATCTCTCTTTCTTGTGTGGGGAGATGAAAAAGGAAGAAATGAGGGACTTTTCTCTGTTGCTGATCAAAAAAGCTCAGTAACATTCCAATTTAGGATTCCTTAACACACCATTTGCGGTGCACCCAACCAAAGCTGACCTTTGTCTCTTGAAACCAGTGTCTCCTCTTCAATAGGATGTCGTTTGACTTTTGCCAGCAAAAGATGCTGTATCCAGAGTTGTGGCAGAGGAGCTTAGTTCCTGTACTGTTGAGAAGTAATAGGAGGATTTCCATTGCACTGATGATCACATATCGCTTGTTCTTTGAGATTTAATGGAAGCTGTTCTTATAATTAACAAAATGGCGGAGAAAGCAGCAGCTTTGGTTTTACTGAGGATTAAGCTGCGTCTTGCTGTCTGTGAAGTGATGAATAGTGGGGAGTGAGCGTATAGGGCATTTTTGTGTTTATGTCAATGTATTTGCACTACATTAAATACCATACTAGTGGTTTATTTTTCAGTGGGATTGATAACAAATCAATTATCTTTTCACAACACTACTCATTACAACAGATTTTTTTTTTCAAGAGGGATTCCGAGGTCAATTAAAATAAATGACTCAAATTATCCTCAGTTACTCTAATGTAAAATCAGTTTCCTGGTGTAACTCAGTTGATTTCAGATTTATTTCATTATAGACAAAGTAGGTGGACTCAGTATTTCTTGCCAGTGACTCTGTTAGTAGTAAGTAATTTGGAGACCAATTACTTAGATTTGCTAGAATGGCTTCTTTGTGTTAGTGTATGTATGCCCAGCTTTATTTATTTTAGCAGGAAAGATGAGATACTTTCTGGTAAATTTGTGAACAGCTCTCTGACCATAGCTCAAAGTAGAGCTGGAGAACTCTTAGGGTTTTTGTCCTGCTTTATTTTGTTTGTTTTCCCTGAGAATCACTTACATGGATTACAAAACTGTTGTGTGTCTAGCAGCATTTATTGTGTTTGTTGAAGAAAGGGAGACTCTAAAATGAAAATAACACAAAGAATTACATGTTCCTCAAACGGAGGTATTGCATGCATTTTGAGATTGGTAAGGAATAGCAGGAAATAAATAGAGGATTTTAAATAATATTAGACCTAACTGAAGATTGCTCAATCCAGTATCGCATTGTCACTGGATTGACACATTCACTGAAAGGGTGATTTATTGAAAATCTACTTTATACCCTGGCTTTGGAATGTATGCTTTTTTCTTTTCCTTTTTAAAGCACATCATGTCAGGTGTTTTTCTTCCCCCAAAATGATTGTGGACCTGATCTGTTTTCAGTACAAGTGGCAAATTCCTATTTATGCGAATGGGATCAGACTCTGTACTATAAGAAGTTAAAACTCTTCAGGAGTAGCGTTTGTCTATGTCTTTGTTGAAAATCCTTTTTGATTGTTTGGGTTTGTACAGGGAAGGGAATGAAAATGGAAAAGAAATACAAATAAAGTAAATGAAATAATATTTGGAGATACTTGTGTGCTTGCAAAACAAGCAGTCTGTTGCTAACTTCTATGACTGTCCATTGAGAGAACACCTTGTACTCCAGAAGACTGATGTTGTGATACGAATAGGTGTGTTTATACTTGTAGCATGATGACTTTTGAGGAAAAAATAGCAGATGTATTGTGATCTTTTTGGCCAGTAAAACAAAAGTGGGATAAGCCTAGGACTAGTCTTGGTGTTTCAGAAATAGATTCTCAGCTGCTTCATTTGAAATCAAAGATTGGCACAGGTGAAGAATCTGATTCTCTGTAATACTGCACTTGCTATTTGCGCATTGCTCAACTATCATTAAAAGAAAAATCCCGACCTTGAAGAAGGCGGCTTTTCAGGACTGGAACTTGAACCTCACATAAACCAAAAAGCTTATTGTTGATTTATTTATTTTCCACAGCTATTGACTCAATTTTCTTTCCTGATTACAAAAGGAAGTGCTCCATTTGTAATATTATTATTCTTGCTTTCACTACACAGAGCCGTTCTGTAATGGCCATCAGAGCATCCTAATGTTCTGGTTGAATGTAAAGTCCTGGCTTTCTGTATTAAACAGGTCACACTGCTTATTGGAGGGTATTGCTGTTCTGGTAGTTGAAATGAGGAGTTTTACCAGCATATCAAGGATTGCTGTCATTGTATGCAGAAAAAAATACTCTCTGTTTCAGCATCAGACCTTTCAGCTGTTGTTGTTTGCATGAGTTGTTTAGTATGAATATGATTTAGGAGCAACAGAGACACAGTATGGATGTAGCAGGATGGTTTTTCACTGGCTGTTTGTGGAACAGCTAGCAGAATAATTTTATTGTTTTTTAAAGGCTTCCTCTGGACTTGAAATTTTAGAAGAATTAACTTACTGCTTTTCAGGGGGAATACTAATCTAATATGTAGGTATGAGTAAAAGTAGTATGTGCTTATATGCAAGTCCAATATACCACAGAGGAACTCGCATATCTGCAGGATTTGCATACCTATACATAAAGCACATGCTATTTAAGTCCAAGTCAAATACTTTGTCAAATTTTCCTTAGAAGCTTTTGCATGCAAAAGAAGTTTCACTCAATAGGGTTTTGCAGCTTTATGAAGCATACATTACATTTCCAAAACTGGGGCTTGTGCAAAGTATAGTACACAAACACAGTTCTTCACACATCAGAGTTGCTTACAAAAATAGTTCATGCTTTTTAAGATAGAGGATACTGCAACATGGTTTGCAAGCGAGATTTGCATGTATCAGAAGTAAGTGGGGATAAGCTTAGGGAGACTTCCATAAATCATGACTGAATTTAGGTACTTTCTAGTATATTAATACATTATTGTAAGAGTGTTTACAATTAACAGCAGACAGGGGAATGTTGCATTAGTGGGTGGCTGAGTAGTAAGAATTCTTTCATTAACCCTAATGATTGCTTTGCTGGTTTATCTGATAAACTGGGTGATGATGCTTTTTGTGCATTGCTCGTCTAATGTTGTTGCTATTCTGTGCAGGTGATGTCAAACAGGAGCCAGGCATGTACCGTGAGGGACCCACATACCAACGGCGAGGCTCGCTTCAGCTGTGGCAGTTCTTGGTAGCTCTTCTTGATGACCCATCAAACTCTCACTTCATAGCATGGACTGGCCGAGGCATGGAATTCAAGCTGATTGAGCCAGAGGAGGTGGGTTAGATGGGCAGCATGTCCTGACATCCACTGCCCCATCCTGCAAATTTAATAGTGCTCCTTTGGACTTAGGCCTTGTTTTCCTTCAATGTTTTGCTTTAGTAGCACTTTAGAAGGGTGACAGAAAGGACTGGCAGGGAAAGTGCTTCAGTTAGGACAGAGGCGTGGTTAAGCATAAACTTGATTCCTAGTCCCACAAGACAATAAAAATATTGCAAGTACTAGATTTACAAAATACTCGGCATTAATTGTGGGGCCTGGATTTTTCAGAACCACTTCATGGATAGAGCTCTGTTTCAAAATCCTTTGAAAACTTGTCCCTGAATAGTCTTTCAACACCAGATACTCTTCAGCGTGAAGATGTGGAAACTTGGAACTTTTAGGCTGTAGAGTGAAAGACCCGAAGTGTGACAAGTGGCAAAGGAAGAGGTTAAGATTGTTAGGCAGTAAAATCCCATCAAAATTGTATAAACCCCCCCTCTTTTTAGAGTCTTCTTCAGAGTCTTCCTGCTTATCTGTATCGTTGGATTGTTTAGTGCATGCTTAGATCCTAAGCTTGCAAACACTCATGCACAGCTCTCCTGAACCATGAAGGACTCATGGGGTAGATAAAATTACTTGTATTCATGAACATTTGCTGAAGCATGACTTAGTTCACTTGGGTGATAAACAGGAATAAATTGAACATTTTATTACATAAACTTTTTTGGACTAGGTAACATTACATAATATATCCTGTATTCTAAACAGCCATGGAAACTGTTGGAAAATCTTGTGTGCATGAATTTTATTGAATACTGATGTGGATGATTTGATTAGGGTTGTCAAAAAGCAGTACAATTATGGTTTACTTTTTTGCCCTTGGACAGGGTTGGGTAATAGGAGGAGATGGCAGCAAATTTTCCATCAGGACCCTGTCTGAGTTAGAGCTGAGTAGGAAGGTTCGGGGGTGTAAGGCTGCTTCTGCGTTCCACCAGCTATTTCTGCCTTTTGCCATCCATCTGCTGGCATAAGCATCCTGAAAGCTTTCTTGCATTTAAGTTACATCGTCTGCCAACAGCCCTAAGGGGATGATAGACTAGTTGGGGATGGCAACAGGACTGATGTCCGTTTCTTTCCCCACATGGTCTGGGTGAGGGGTAGGTTGCTGCAAGGACCTGTGTGCTGGCTGTTGTTTGTCTGAGCATCTCCTGCAAGTCACGGTGGCAGATCCTGGCATTGTGCATCTGAGGATTTGACCACAGAACAGTCTTAGTTGATTTGATACTGAAACTTTGCTGGCAAGTCTGCAGCTTTAGCAGGCTACATGGACTTACTAGTTGTGTGACCTGGCCCAGAACAGAGTGAAATCTTCAGAAAGGCTCTTACTCGATTTCGGTGAATGAGCTATCTGATTTTTCCCCCTGCCTCAGTATTTTTTACCCTCTTAGTTTTGTCTTGTCTTTAAGATATGTCCAAAGTTTTTCAAGATTGAAGAGATTTATTGAGAAATGGTTTCCAGCAGATGGTGCAAAAACTTTATAGATTTTATTAGCTAAGGAAGGGAAAGCAGCAAAACAAAACCCTCAGGTTTCTTTGTGTAATTCCCTGAAGAACTGGATATTCTGATTTAGGTTAACCAGATCATCTGCTTGTCTGACTTTGTAGCAGTTGCTTTGTGGTTTTGAGCAGCACTGCATGCAAGATCTGGAGGAGGCAAGCTACTTGAAACTTGCCTCACTCCTGTGTGCTCTTAGGGAGTACAAAGGAGCCTAAGTTGTTTTCATATGAATGTCATGGATCTGACGGAAACTGTCGATTAAAATAAGAATAGCCTCTGGGAAGTTGCACACTTCTGTTGGTTGCCAAGTGTAAATTGAAGGGAAGTCAAAGAGCTTGTTGGTTCAGCTGTGGCAGGTTAGAATGTCAATGACGTGACCTTTCCATCCCATCCCTTTCTGGAGGTTTATGCCCTTGTAGAAAGGGTGACAACAAAAATGAATATGTATCAGCTCCTAGAGCACCATAGTTCATTCAGAAAGTAGATAACTGTGAACTGTGGAGGCTAAGAATTGGGCATAGGTCAATTTATGCTGCCTTGTCACAGGGACAGCAACCCTAAAAAAGTGGACGCTAGAAGCCCTAATCCCTTCCACAGAGCGAGACTTGATAAATGCTGTGCAGTTCAGGGACAGGAAAACTCCCTTAGAAGACTACTTCTGGACCTGCGTGCTTATTTAGGAATGTCAAAATACCACACAATATAGCATATTCTCAACCGTTATGTCGTTGTGGTTATCTTTGCTGTGTATTTATTTATTATGCAAGCCTGTTATGTTGGGGACTTTTAGGACTGGCTAATGCAGAGGAAAACTTGGTGGGAATAAAGAGTGATATAGGCATGTGTTACAAAGATGAACAGGCGAATCAAGGTTATGCATCTACGCCAAATCTACAGCTGGAATAAATTGACATGATTGGAGGTATGTTTCAATAGACCTATAACATAGCTGAAGTTAGCAGAGCCATGATAATTTACATAAGCCTGAAAAGCTGCACCACTGGAAGGAAATAATGCTTTCAAAAGAAATTCTAAAAATTATTGTCCAGATGGAGATCAAAGTCATGGATTTTGCTGTTGTTATTTAGTTCCCTTCAATTCTCAGTGCTGCATGTCGTCTATGGTTTGCATCAAAAGGCTCCAGACACCTATGGGAAAGTTTCATAGAGCAGTCTGCAGAGAAGCTGCTTGGCTACTCTCTCCTTTTTCCAGAGCTGTATGCATGTGCACTTCTCAAACATTTTTACAAAATGTGCTTTAAAGACTTCATCAGCTCTGACTTTTTTTCCCCTCTGGTGACATGATAGTCATTTTTACAGCCAGTAATTGAAATGTCACCAACAACCGATTATAATTTCAGGTGGGGAATAAGCTGTTAAACTCTTTAAACAAAAGGTCTCTTTGTCCAGAACTACCTTTGGCAATAAAACAGGTAGCATAAAGGCAAGTGGAAATCATAAGTGAGAGCAGAAGGCATATTGTTCTCTATGGAATGGCTTCACAAGTTGTTTGCAACTCTCTTTTTATTCTTGTTTTTAAGGGAAATGATACAACTGCAACTATGATATTTCTGTCCCATTCTTTATACTACCATATAGTTCTTCCAAACGATTACCTTGCCTCCTCTGATAAGAAAGAATTAATTTTCTTTGCTGAAGTAATATTTAAGACTAGGAGTTGGCTTTTGACTTGTATCTCCTAATAATCTCAATATCGCTGTCATTCCAAGTACAGTCTGTATTATTTCATGAACTGAGTGTGTATGCATGTGTGTTTAATATAAATTAGTTTTCTGACAGCAAGGAAAACATGGGAATAGTACAATTATCCACAGTATCAAACTAAAGAAAAGTTTTCATCTTTCATGAAAGTTTTCTGGTGGAACTTCATAAGTATTTTTTGTCTATCATCTCTTTCTATGGCTTTATTTTTTCATTGATTTTCTTTATTAAAAACAAACAAATAATGAAAACCCCAACCCTCCACTACATTTGCAAATAAGTCAGTCTGCTTCAAGTTTAATGGATGACTGTGTGTCCAATTAAAAATCATAGTAGGACGTGGGAAATTCAGGTCATGGCAACCTTTTCTCTTGTGTTTATTCATTGCACCTGCAGGGTTTCCCCTCTTCTATCCCCAAATAAAGTATCTGATGATAAGATCTGCTTGTTAAATGCATTTAGCAAATAAATGCTAATCTATTTTTGTGGCAGGTGGCACGTCGCTGGGGGATTCAGAAAAATAGGCCAGCTATGAACTATGATAAACTTAGCCGATCACTTCGCTATTATTATGAAAAGGGAATCATGCAAAAGGTGAGTAGCTAATTTTGTATTAAATTTCACCAGTGTTGCATGTTAATGCATGTGACTTAACAAGGAGTACTTGTAACTGCATTGCTTAGGTAAGTTTTTCATCTATTTAGGCAAGCGCTAAGCTTTTTCACCTACCAGGTCCAGTATATGCATCAAGATATTTTTTTCTATGTAAAAAATGTCTGTGGTTTTAGTTCACACAATCTACGTCATGATTAT